AAAAAACAGCATCTAAAGTTTGCATTCAAAGATTCTGTTTGCAATTTAAAAAAACAACAAATAATCTTGAAAATGTTCTGTAATTTAATCATAAATAGGCACCTTACAATAATATGAGTTTGCCTAATCAACAGTCAATCCGCAAAATACATAATTGATCAGCAAGATTCACGATTGGTTAGCAAAGAAAATGTCTATAATCAGAGACCTAAATTTAACCAACTACTGTGGCCAGCGGTAGTTGGTTAAATTTAGGTGTACTGTTAAATTTGTACCACCTTGTGCCACCGCAAAGCCGCGTTCATTTTTTTAATATTAATAATAATGTTTATTATTTTTTAGCGGCGTACCCTCTAAGTGCTTATCAAAATTTTATAAACATGGGTCACTCATTGCAGCTTATATAATTTATGCTGTACTAAAAAGTTTGCAGCCGCCCAGAATGCCAAAAATTGTCGATTGATTTAATAATGTTTGCTAGACATGGTTTTGCTGACCAATTATTTATTTCTGCTGCTAGATTACGTTTTGTTTGCTGACAAAAACATGAATAGTATGCTAACCTTTTAAATAACACCCGAAAAGAACTAACGAATCCCCACTATAAGATAATCTTTCGGGGAGATCTATGTTCAGCAGAGGGCCTTTTGCAGGCTGTAAAGGATAGAGGAATGGATGAAATTATCATGAGGCCTACACACATCAGGGTCAGTAAGAATTTTATTTTTCATCAATATCAAGCAGTAATTACGTTCATTTTCAATAGACACCAAAACCAAGCCAAAACCATGCTCAACTTATTGTAAGAACACGTACTCATGTACGTATATGCAACTAAAATAATTTGCAACTAACAACATGTTTCTGAGTAGAACTTTTTAAAGATGCTGCAGCTATACTATGGTTGGGTCACTAATGGATCGATGCAACTTGGGAAGGACCACGCTCTCACAGAATTCCACAACGTAAATAGTAAATTCTTAAGCTTTTTAAATTGTAAGATGTCGTATGGTGAGTGTAGTGAACCGGAGACACCTTATACTGGTAATGAGGCATTCTATTTAATTCCTGAAAGGTGACAACGTTCCTACATTTTGATATCTTAAACGATGATAGATATTACTAGCTTGAACTGTGCACTCGTTTGTCACTTTTATCCTTCAAAAAAAGAGAAAGTTGTATGCGTGAATGGCACGTCAAGAAGCTCGAGTACTAAAACTGTTCAGTTATACTAGCGTTATAATATATCCAGTAAGTAAATTTAAGGAACAGAGAAAATAAAAGATATACAGCCACCATTGAGTTATATGTACTACGTACTAGAGAAGCCATTCCGAACATTGACTATGTTCAACTGAACTGTACTGCAATCCGTACAAACTAAATATTGCGTAAATTGAAGATTTGTGAATTCCATAAAATAATTATTATTACATTTTAAGTATTTAGAAATATGTTTGTTTAGATTAAATTAAGATATTTTATATAAAAATTTTAATAATAATAATATAGCGTATGACTTGTTTTAATATATTTTTTTAAATAGTAAAGGTTTAAGCAAAAGCGTCAAAACATCAAGATAGCGTCAAAGCAGGGTGTAATTTAGCAGTTTCAAATAAAATATGTAAATTGAAGGGTCCAATGAAGTCGAATTTTAAATATAATTACGATCTAAACTTCTACCAAGGTCATGAACAACCTTTGCAAAATGTAATGAATAACTTCGTTTGCCCATGTAACGTATTATTGATCACCCTTTTGTCTTTGCTTTTGTTGAACGTTACGTTTAGAGTTTTGATTTGCTTTAAAAATAAACTAGTTAAAACAACTTTTTAATTATAACACAATTTTTATACAATGTGTGATTAGTGTGTTAACAGGCAGTATAGCAAGAAAACTATCGAAAAAAAGACTAAATTATATAATATTATGCTTATGCAGAAGAAAATTCTAGAAGGTATAACGATTTTATATGAAAAAAAAAGATATAGCAATACGAGTATAATTATCTACGTTCTGAAGAAATAGTAAATAGTTATCTATATAAATAATCTAGTTTTTTTAAGAAACATTAGAAATCAAATATTACGCGAAATAAACACTTTCTTTTACAATTACCATAATTTACTTCAATGATTGGATTTAAACAAGTTGAATTTCAGAGTAATGGAATAATAAGTCCGATAAGTTACTTTAGTATTTGTTAGCGGACTATCTTATTTTTCAATCTTTCAACATATTATGGTACGTCAAAATTTAGAATTGCAATTAGCAATTTCAGTGGTACTGGCGCAAATCGCAAATCAAATTCTCGAGCTCGACTGCTACGAATTTTACGATGAGCATTTAGCTCCTGAGTTTCCACGGCTTTTACGACGAAGTGACGAAATATTTACTCTAATTTACTTGTATTATATATATTATATACCTTCCATCATACTATAAAAGTACCTATTTAATATTACAAATAGAAAAATTTCTTTCAAATTTTACACAAAATATAAACTCAAGTATCAGTTTTAAAAAAATTTGCATGTGATGCTATGCTACTCGTAGTTCACATTGAAATAACATAAACACAAATAACAGGAGATGCCAGTAATGTATACAATGAACACAATTTAAAAGAATAAGGTGTTTGTTTAATTGTGTAAACAAAGATAATTTAAATTTATTTTTGTAGCTAAACAAAAAACTAAATTCAAAGTGGTGGAGCTACTTTTGCCTAGGAGCTCGTCTGAGCCAGTACCACTCTCTTACTCGTTTTCTACCGCTAAGTAACAGAGCACCAAAAGCTGTATTGTGCTACTTTTACGAATACAATTATGTAATCTGTGCTTATGATTGAAAGCGTAAGAGAATCGGGATAATCACATAATATAAGTGAACGTAAATTTAACAGCCCCGTGGTGCAAGTTCCGTACTGGTGAGCACAGACATTCTCTTTCTTGAGAGGGTTTCAGGGCAAGGAAATGTCCATCGCGTTGCCCCGATACATGTAGGCGGGCTACAAATGTCTCGAATTTTTTTTAGTTTCTCCGTTAATCATGTTGTCTCACGATGTTTTCCTTTATCGCCGAGAATGGTAAATCACTTAAAACTGCATTTAACAATTTCATTAGTGGTGATGAGATCGAACTTGAGTTGTTCACGTACTGTGAAATTTACAGCGAGTACTTAACCTCTGAGCTGCCACGGCTCTTAGCTCTCAAAAAATGTCAGAGAGGATAATTGCAGGTTGTGAGACATTTTTTATACGTAGTTTTTTATACATTTTTATACATGGTAGGGCCATGCTGCAGCTATATTAATTGTATAGTTGTAGCACGAATGGGTCGGCTCGACCGGGGAAGGACCACGCTCTCACAGAATAGCAGCGTGAAATAGCAGCTTAACGCTGCTGTGTTTCGTATGGTGAGTGTAGAGAACCGGAGACCCTTTTTACTGGAAAAGAGGCATTCTATCTTAGTCCTCACGGCTGACAACGCATCTGCATTTTAATTCACAAACGAAGATAGATGTAGATGTCTATGAGCCACAGCAATCACTTACCATCAGGTGAACTCTGTGCTCGCTTGTCACCCTAATTCTATTAAAAAAAAACATTTTGTCTTAGTCCTCAGTGGTGATAAATAGGTGCTTTCTTTGTTCGAGGAATATCCCACAGGAACTTATAATTATTTTTTTTACTATATTTTTTTGTAAATTCCTGTGGTTTCATTCGTTAGTCAATTTTATAGTATAAAAATAAATCAAGAATTGTTTTCTCAACTTATCACAAAAACACAATGATTTTCTAAAATATAAGTTACTATATAGTAACTATATATAGTATAAATTTTTCCAGCCCTAATGTTGAATTAGCTTGCTCAGCAACATTTCCGAAGCGACCACGGCTTTCTAAGCCCTTATCGTCTTTAATTTCCTCTCTAAACTAGCAACAATATGAATTTGAATTACCATCTATACGTGAATTGAGTTAATATAATTTAGGTTAGACTAATACGTATTTATAACTAGCGCCGCCCCGGCTTCGCCTGGATAAGATGTATATTTCTATAGATATTTCAAAAACAGTCTGTAAATTTTTCATATGAAATCTGTTTGTGAAGTTTCATTTCAATCGGCCCGGGGACAGACAGAGTGATAATTATTTTTTTAAACAGCTATTCATGCTTTAATGTCATACAATTAACTCCCTTAGTTAATTCGATATTACAGACATACAATTCAATTTTATTTATTTTTTATTATTAACAACTAGCGATCCGCCCTGGCTCCACTTGGGTAAGATCTATTAATGTGGTGCTATTTAGATATAGGATAATCACCATATGTTTTATCTATTTTTCGTTATTCTTTCAAACAGACAAAATACATCCCCTAAATCTTTTGTACCATTTCTCTCTATCTGTCAATAAAGTTTCATCACAATGGTCATCCATCGTCAGACAGACGTTATTAGCATTCAAATAACTCCCCCCCTTCCCCGTCTGAGCTTAATAGAAGCCAGTTATTTAAATATTATAGAAAGATACTTCAATTTTATTTATTTGTGTTAAGATTGGTATTGGATGTCCAAGGGATGCTGTAGCCAATTTAATATGCTATTAAAGTTATCATGTTTATAAGTATCTCTCTCCAAATTTAAATAGCATATTATGAATGCATGTATAATAATGTATCTTGAACAGTGTTTATGTACCAAAACAAAACCAATTTACAAGTAGTTAACAAGTATAACATAATATAGTATAAGTATCACAATCGTACGGAGGATTTGCATGAGAGACGTCATTTATCGGAAATAACTAAATATACGAGGGTGGATTGAAAAGTACTCGGCCTAACACAGATCCATTCATTTCTTAAAAATCAAATCTACCCACATTATTTAGTTCAGTTCAGACTAGTTCATTGTTTGAAGTTCGAAACGTGTGCGATAATTAGTTGTGATTTTATAAATTTATTAACAAAGTAATCGGACATAATTTCCGCGAATGGAGCAAATCGAACAGCGTGCCGTCATTAAGTACCTCCATAAGAAGGGGCTATCATCAAAAGCCATCCATGATGACATGGTCAATACATTAGGCGATTGTGCTCTGTCATATTCATCCGTCAAAAAATGGATAGCAGAATTTAAGCGTGGTAGAGAGAGTGTGAAAGATGAACCCCGCTCTGGAAGGCCTTCGACGTCAACTACTGACGAAAATATTAAAAAAGTACTTGATTTAATAATGGGAGACCGCAGATTAAAAATTAGAGAGATAGCCGAGATTATAGGCATCTCTTATGAACGAACTCAAAACATCATTGTCAACGAGTTGGGTTTCCACAAGGTGTCTGCGAGGTGGGTTCCGCGACTGCTTTCAGTTGAACAAAAAAGGACGCGATTGACTATTTCACGCGACTGTTTGGAGTTATTTGAAGCCGATGCAGATGATTTTTTGAATCGTTTTGTTACTATGGACGAAACATGGGTTTATTACTGTACACCGGAAACAAAACAACAATCAAAACAGTGGAGAAGACCTGGTTCACCACCCCCTAAAAAGGCTAAGTCGATTTTGTCGGCAAATAAGGTGATGGCTTCAGTATTCTGGGACTCGAAAGGTGTGATTATGATTGATTATCTTGAAAGGGGTCAGAATATAAACTCTGATTACTACTGCACCTTACTACGTCGTTTACGAGAGGAAATAAAAGAAAAACGTCGAGGAATGCTCAGAAGAAAAGTCCTGTTTCATCAAGATAACGCCCGTGTTCACACGTCAGTACAGTCAATGGCTGAAATTCACAACTGTGGCTTTGAACTGTTACCGCATCCGCCGTATTCACCTGATCTGGCACCATCAGACTTCTTTCTGTTCCCTAACCTAAAAAAGCACTTGGGAGGTCAAAGATTTTCGACAAACGACGAGGTCAAAGCAGCTGTAGACGCATATTTTGACTCTAAGGAAGAATCATTTTATTAGGTATTCAGTGATATATTTTATTAATATTTCTATATTTTTTAATCTAAATGATTTAATATTTTACCTAGTTCCTTCCCCGTACTTTCCTTGGTTCAGCCATTCCGGCGATTAGCCCACACAGACAGACAGAACTTTTAAAATGATCATAAAATATGCAATATATATATATATATATATACTTATACTATATATATAACTATAAGAAGGAACTAGGTAAAATATTAAATCATTTAGATTAAAAAATATAGAAATATTAATAAAATATATCACTGAATACCTTAAATCTAAATATCGCTATATTAATCAATTATATCCAGGCGAAGCCGGATATACAATAAGTATTCTTTGTCTCTGACGTTATTTAGTTGTTGCTCATAGATTTCGCTCATGTAGATCATCATTAAGATATCCTGCCTTCTATAAATGTCGCACAGCACTGATGTTATATTTAGTTATTTCCGATAAATGACGTCTCTCATGCAAATCCTCCGTACGATTGTGATACTTATACTATATTATGTTATACTTGTTAACTACTTGTAAATTGGTTTTGTTTTGGTACATAAACACTGTTCAAGATACATTATTATACATGCATTCATAATATGCTATTTAAATTTGGAGAGAGATACTTATAAACATGATAACTTTAATAGCATATTAAATTGGCTACAGCATCCCTTGGACATCCAATACCAATCTTAACACAAATAAATAAAATTGAAGTATCTTTCTATAATATTTAAATAACTGGCTTCTATTAAGCTCAGACGGGGAAGGGGGGGAGTTATTTGAATGCTAATAACGTCTGTCTGACGATGGATGACCATTGTGATGAAACTTTATTGACAGATAGAGAGAAATGGTACAAAAGATTTAGGGGATGTATTTTGTCTGTTTGAAAGAATAACGAAAAATAGATAAAACATATGGTGATTATCCTATATCTAAATAGCACCACATTAATAGATCTTACCCAAGTGGAGCCAGGGCGGATCGCTAGTTGTTAATAATAAAAAATAAATAAAATTGAATTGTATGTCTGTAATATAGAATTAACTAAAGGAGTTAATTGTATGACATTAAAGCATGAATAGCTGTTTAAAAAAATAATTATCACTCTGTCTGTCCCCGGGCCGATTGAAATGAAACTTCACAAACAGATTTCATATGAAAAATTTACAGACTGTTTTTGAAATATCTATAGAAATATACATCTTATCCAGGCGAAGCCGGGGCGGCGCTAGTTATAAATACGTATTAGTCTAACCTAAATTATATTAACTCAATTCACGTATAGATGGTAATTCAAATTCATATTGTTGCTAGTTTAGAGAGGAAATTAAAGACGATAAGGGCTTAGAAAGCCGTGGTCGCTTCGGAAATGTTGCTGAGCAAGCTAATTCAACATTAGGGCTGGAAAAATTTATACTATATATAGTTACTATATAGTAACTTATATTTTAGAAAATCATTGTGTTTTTGTGATAAGTTGAGAAAACAATTCTTGATTTATTTTTATACTATAAAATTGACTAACGAAAGAAACCACAGGAATTTACAAAAAAATATAGTAAAAAAATAATTGTAAGTTCCTGTGGGATATTCCTCGAACAAAGAAAGCACCTATTTATCACCACTGAGGACTAAGATAAAATGTTTTTTTTATTTAATAGCTGCAACACCAGGGGAACCAGGAGAATTGCAGATATATATCTGAAATTACCCCTGATTAAGGTACCCCTGGTGTTGCAGTTGTTCGTGGGCGGCGGTAGTCACTTACCATCAGGTGAGCCGCATGCTCTTTAGCCCCATCTCGTATAAAAAAAAAGATAATAGCTTACTAGGTGATAGGACTTTTATGCCCAGAAGTTTGCCTAAGTAAGTAACCCCTTTTACCTATACCTGCCGTAAAAAGCAGTGCTTGCACTGCTGTGTTGCATCTGAAGGATATAGAGAGGAAGTATAATTACAAGTTGTAAGGCATTACATTTACTCATAGGAGACTAGGCATCTGTTCCTTCTTTATTTGAAGTTGGTTGCAAATTTCCTTGTGCTCACATATACTCAGGATATTGACCAACTTTGTCAAGATGCTCTTAATATTGACTGGTCAGTGATTGAGAAAGCTCCATGCATTGACGATAAAGTGGAACTTTTTTGTTCCCTACTCACGCAGCGTTACGACGTTCACACGCCAATGCATTATGTGAGACTCATACACTTGCCTGCTCCATGGCTCTCAGATGATCTGAAAAGGCTTATTTTAAAGAAGAATGCGGCATTGTTAAAGCTTAAGAGGAATAAAGGAGATGAAAACTTAAGGAAATACGCCAAAATCAGTAATCGCTGCAACACTTTATGTAGAGATGCACAACGACGTCATATTCATACATCAGTCGAGAACGGCGACTCATCTAGGGTGTGGAAGTTTTTTAAAACAGTTGGAGTTGGTCATCATCCCTAAATGCTTCACCTCGTATAGGTAAACCACACAACTGGCGGAACGCCCGCGGGGCATGAAGTTGGTGGGGGCGGGTATTAATACACATGTAATAATTTTTGCAGAGATAAATCCCGGGATAATATTCGCCGATTGCAAATATAGGATAATGTAAATAAAAGTCAACTTTGCTAGATCAATGATTTTGTAGCATGTTAATTTTATTTTACTGTAACGTATTTTTTAAACTATGTACATGAATATAAATAAGACAATGATTTATATCAGAAATATTTATTAAGTTTTAAGCAAAACACTTTGTAAAAGCAGTACTTAACCATTTTTTATAATTTTATTTTAATAATTAATAATATTTTCCTCCTCGCTAGTATCAATATTCATATCACTTGAATTACCGTCTTCGCTATCAGTGCAACTGGACGAGTCAGAATTATCTTGTAAATTAATTCGATTCGAGTATTCGATCGTGTTGACAGTACTCATCTTCAATTTTCTGGATATGTGTGTCACATGCTACCCATTTTTCTACTGGAATTCACTAAATAATTTCTCTAGTGCAGTTTTCTTCTTATCTAAATTACTGTCAAGTTCGTTTCTCGAAAGTTGTCCCTTGATATCCCCCCAAACCAGCTCTTTGGGGTTCAAGTCTGGGTGATACGGCGGAAGTCTTAATACTTCGTGGCCTGCAGCTTTTAGCACTTCATCGATCTTGTAAACATTTTCAGATCCATGTTGTTTGATCAACTTGAGCAGGTCACATTTTCTCAAGGAACTGTCAAATTCCACATTATGTCTTTGCAGCCAAGCCTGCATCGAAGCTTTTGTATTTGTCATCGTTGGTTTTTTGTCTTCCTGGACTGAATGATACGCGGCGTTATTCATAACAATTACAGATCTTGGAGGTAAATTAGGCAATAATTTTTCTTTTGTCCATTTATTGAAATTTACAAAATTTATATCCGAATGATAATCCCCGATTTTAGTTTTTGATTTAAAAATTAGAAGAGCTCCGTCAACAAATCCAGCCTGGCCTCCTGCATGTACAATAATTAATCTCGGTCCTTTGCCAATATGAGCCAGCACTCCACGTTCTTCTTTTGATTGCCAGTACGATGGAACATTTAAGGAGGAATTGACGTATGTTTCATCGAGGTAAACAATGGATCTCTTGTCTCTTCGATATTTTTGTATCACATTCAGATATTTCCATCGCCAAGAAACAATGTTTGGTTGTTCAATAAGCAGCTTTCTCTTCGACTGACATTTTTTAAGTTTAAAGCCAAGTTTTTGCAGTAATAGTCTCAAATATTCTCGACCGCAATTAAAAATTCCTTCTTCTTTAAGTTTAGCATTTAATATTTTTAATGTGGGAACCCTCTTGTAAATAGTGTAAAATTGAGTAATTTTTCGTCTCACTACTCCTTTAGTAAAATTATCTATTTCAATATTTTTCTTTTGTTTTAGATAATTTCCTTCTTTGACAATTTTACTCACAGATGTTAAAGATATTCCTGTTGCTTGCGCGACCAATTTATTCAAGTTTACGTCTTATTGATATTCCGTTGACGATTGATCTTGTTTTCTTAGTTTAGAGAAAGAATGTACATTGTACACCAATTGGTACGCTTGCTTGTTGATTTCCTTGGCAAAAATCTTAGAGCGTCCATCTTCAGCATTGATCTTGGGTTATAATCTCGTGTGCGTTTTGTTCCGAGCGTCCGTAACCAATTAACCCACTGCCCGCTGCGAAAGCCGCGAGCGCACTGAAAAATGTCACTCGAGCTCCATGCCGCGCGCCCTCGCACTTCACCCCGAAACTCCCTAAAATCCCTCCGCGCCCACCCACTTCTTGCCCTGCGGGCGATCCGTCAGTTGTGTGGTTTACTTATAGTGTTGATTTTGAACTATTAAATCAACATTTTTCTAATCTTTCTAACTCTTTTGACAGTATATATAAACTGCAAACACTTCGTTCTCTTTCTGTAACTCGGTCTCCTAATTATCCTCCGATCGTTTTTAGTCAGTTTACTGTACGTGATTTTAAGAAGATCATATTATCCATCTCCTCAAATGCTGTCGGTAGCGACAACATTAGCCGTAATATGATTATTCCTCTCCTAGATGTTATCACTCCCATTATCACTCATTTACTTAATACATCTGTCTCTTCCTCTAAATTCCCTCAAGCCTGGAAGAGTGCTCATGTTATACCCCTTCCGGAGAGATCTAATCCTGTCAACCTCTCTGATTTTCGTCCCATCTCGATCTTACATTTCCTTTCTAAAGTCCTTGAAAAACTAATTTGCCAACAGGTGACCCTTTTCCTCAATAAGCACAATTTATTAAATTCTTTACAATCCGGTTTCCGTCCTGGTCATAGTACGGCTACTGCCTTAATCAAAGTTACTGATGACATACGGTGGGGTATGGATAATAAACTACTCACAGTCATGACCTTGCTGGATTTCAGTAATGCGTTCAATACTGTTGACTATGATATACTGTTGAGTCTGTTGTGTTCCCTTAACATATCTCC